CTCATAATCTTTTAGTGCTGAATAAAAAAACAAAGTGTTAGAAATAAAATGTATTGAATGAATTGAAGCAAAATAATACTAATATTTATAATAAGGTTAGTCTACTTCTTTCATAAAGATAGAATTAGTTTATATGTAAATATAACATATCTCATTACTATTTTTTGTTTTTCATAATGATAAGAATAATTAAAATAGATGTATAATATAAATTATACCATGTAATGTTATTAGAAATATACTACCGCAGTTAAGAACAAATTTACAACTTAAATGTTACTACCACCTACACTCTACTCAAAACTTTTCACTTTATAAAATGGTTGAAATAATGAAAATAATAAATTATTTATCACATTATGTGGCTAATTAAATTTGACCAAAGTTTTAAAAATAAAGAAAAAATTAATATATTTTTCTACTTACTATAATAATAACATTATTTCAATAATTGATTAGAGAAAATTAAAAAATAAAAAATATCAAATATAAAGCAAAAAAGGACTCTCAAATTAGTTTTAATGACTTAGTTCTTTTCTTCTTCATCAGCAACTTCACCATATCTCCAAACGTTGAGATGGTTTTCTTTGGCTTTTGATTGAGCATCTAATAAAGCAACACCCCATTCACTATTGTCATGGAAGTGTTTGTCAACAAATGCAAGACCAAATTGGACAAGATGAGTGTTAATGCAAACATCTCCAACAACAACCTTAGCTTCTTCTCCAGAAACAAAGAGTGAAACTTCTTTCTTATAATAAGCAGCAACAGCTTCAACAGCAGCAGCAAAATCAACATCTTTAGGAGTGAGAGTCTTAAGTCCTACAAGTCCTACAGTTTTAACAGTAACGGGTTTACCAGCAATTTCTTCTGTGATTGGTTTTAATTTGTTTTTACCACAAATAATAACAGCTCCTGTATCAATGCATTTAAGAACATTAGCACCAGTTGCAACTTCAACAAATTCAGCTCTATAGAAAAATCCTTTATTCTCAGCAATACATTTATCACCAACAGCTGGTTTTATAGCACCTTTCTTAACAGTCTTACACATAGCGTTAACTTCTTCAATAATTTTAGCATCTTCAGCATTATCATAATAACCAATCTTTTCTCCATCAAAACCTGTTAAATAGACTTTTTGTTCAGCACTGAATTTAATTTCAGTATTTCTCTTTGGCTTCTTTTCAACAACTTCAGCTACTTCTTTCTTCTTTTGAGTATCAAATTGATAAATTTGAGTCATATTTTCTTTCATTTGTTCAATTTCAGATGAAACATTGTAACGTCCAGTTGGCATAGCAAATCCATGTTCAAGAATATAACTAGCTAAATCTGTTCCATTACTAATAATTTCAACATATAAGTTTCCTTTATGATATCTCTTAAAGTCTACAAGAACTTCATGATATTCACATAATTGTTTAACATTTGTTTTAGCACTCTCAACAAATTTCTTAAGACTATCATTAGAATCATCTTTTGGAACAAAGCAATTTTGAAGATGAACAATAAGTTGAGAATTTTTCTCTGGAATGTAAACAAGATATACGGTCAATGAAATAGCCTTTTCAATAATACATTTGAAATTATTTCCAATAAGCATATCTTTAACGTTATCCAAATTAGAATAATTAGTAATTGGAACTGGTTTATATGTTTTCTTTGGAACAGCTTTTAATTTACTATAATCAAATGATTGATAGAATTGATCTTTAGTTCTTTCATCAACTACAACAAGTCCTTCTTTTAATAATGGAATAGCAATATTTGTTTTATCTGCATAAACATCATAATAAACTTCTGTAACAGTTTCTTCTCCTTTTTTATTTTCAGATCTATAAGCTTCTTTACATTCAAACTTCTTTCCAACAATTAATTTTCTAATAACTTCTCTCATTCTAAATTCAATAAGTTCATTGAATGCCTTATCATCTTTCTTATAAAGTGGTTTAATTGATGCAAAATTAACATTGAGAATTTCTCCATCTTTTTCAATTCTAAGATATTTACCAATGAAAAGAATATTAGCTCCTCTAATTACTCTAGCATTCTTCTTTCTTTCTTTAAGATCTTTTTCTCTCTTTTCTTTTTTAGCTTTGGCTGCGTCTTCAGCTGCTTGATCAAAATTAACAAATCTTCCTTTTCTTTCTTTTTTAGCAATTGCTTCACATTCTTCATATACTTGCTTTACTGATTCCATATTTTCTTCAAATGTAGAAACAGTGACATATCCATTCTTTAACAATTCTTCAGCAATATCTTTCTTGTCAATAGTAATAATTCCTGTTACTCTCTTTCCATTGTCCATAATTTTAACAACACAATCTCTTTGATTATAATTCTTATTACTGAATTTTATAGCTTCTTTAGCAATATCATCAAATTCAAATTGTTTCTTTTCTACATTAAATGTTGCATGTTGATTAATTCCAAAGAGTGAAACTCTTACAATTTTTCTTTCTGGAGTTTCAACAATGAATTGTCCTGGTGCATCAACTTTCTTAATATGTCCATTAAGATTTTTCATTACATAAAAGTCAAGTTCTTTACTTGTTAATTTTGGATCAGTTGGTTTTTTAATAGAAATTTTTTCTGCATTCTCATTATGAACTCCTTTCTTTTCTCTTTTAGCCTCTTCTTCAGCCTTAGCATATTCAACAATTTCTTTTCCTTTTCCCTTTAAAATACCATATCCATTTTTAAGAAGAGTAATTGCAATATTTTCTCCATTAACAAATGGAATTACCATCTTTGGAACATTCTCAGTTGCTTCACTAACAACTTCAAATTTAACTTCTTTACCATTAATAAGTTTTTTTCTTAATAATTCTCCACATTCATAAGCAAATGTCTCTTCTTTATTTTGTTTTTTATCAAATCTTGGAAGTTCAAGATATGCAATCACAATAACTGGACTCTTTTCTTCTTTCTTTGTTGCAAGAAGAAGTCCATTCTTCTCAGTAATTCCTGTAACAATAGCGTTCATAAATACTTTCTTATCAGAGGCATCAACTTTCTTTGAGACTCCCTTCTTATTAGCTTGTGCTGGCATTTTAATTCTTCTGATCTAATTAAAGTCAAGTTCTTTTTCTATTCTAGGGTTTTTGCTTATTATTTTTATTTTCTTTTATTAATTCTTTAATAATTCTTTTTAACATTATCTTAATTTTTTTTTCCTTTAATTTGAAATTTAAAGTTTTCTTTCTATTATATTTATTCATTTTTATTATTATTTATTACTTCTTTTAGTTCTATTCAATGAGTAAGGAACTTATCTTTGTTTACTTCTTTTAATCATCATTTATTAACTGATTTATTCCATTTCTTAAATCCATAAAAAATTTCTCAATCATTCCGTCATGAATTTTTTTTTACCATTTGTATTTCTTTTTCTATTACTATTTTCTTTTTATTTAAACTTAACAAATTACTACAATATAATTTTTTAACAGTTATTAAAACAAGTGTATTGATATTTATTCAAAAAAAATCTAAAACATAAAAACATGTTATGGCATCTTTGCTTAATTAAATTTCTTTTCAAATAGCCAAAAAGATATATCCATTTAAAAAAATTGGTTTATTATTTGAATTTATTAATATGTATCATTAAAAGTCTCTAAACTCATTTAAAGTATTTGTTGAAATAATCAAAAAATACCTTTTTATTATCTATATTATTTATTTTAATTACTATTCCAACTTATTTTAACAAAAAAAAAAAACAAACTCAATTCATTTTTTTACTATCATTTTTTTTTATAATTTAATTACATTCATAAAATGGTTTTTTAATTTTATTTGTTATTACTTCAACCTTTACTTTTTTAATATTCTTTTTAGTTTTAGTTAGTATTGCATTATTCTTTACCTCAAGACTTATTAGGTTTATTTATTAGCTCAGCCTATAACAAAAGTTAATTTGTTTTTCCTTTCAAACTAATAACTAAGAATTTCTCATTAACTAATACTTTTGTACTGAAAGAGTAATTAAGTTTTTATTGTCAAACCAACTAAATATTCTTTATCACAATTTTTACTAAATACAAAGAAGAGTATATAAGA